CCTGGCTTCTATAACCCAGTGGTCATAAACATTGTATTTTAAGATGTATTTTTATAGAGATTTCTGATTATGACATATTGAATGAAAGCCATGATATTTTATTATCAGCTTCGGAGTACATCATGGAGGTAACAATTATAGTCTCTTAAATCATTGTGGGTTTTTTTGATACAGAATCTAACTCTGTTACCCAGGTTGGGGTATAGTGGTATGATCATAGTTCACTGCAGCCTCAAACTCCTGAGCTCAAGTGATCCTCATCCCTCAGCCTCCCAAATAGTTGGGACCACTGATGTGCCCCACCACATTGGCTAACTTCTTTTTATTTTTTGTAGAGATGAGGTCTCACTTTGTTGCCCAACCCAATTTCAAGCTCCTGGCCTTCAAGGATCCTCCCACCTTGGCCTTTGAATGCACTGGGATTACAGATAAAAGTTAAATAATTTTAGATATCAGACCAGCTTCTCTGAAGTGATGTGAAGACAGTTAAGTTGTCAATAGAATACTATCTGATCTATATTTGTTGTTATTAATTTATACCTCTGTGCACTCTAGGAATTAGTTTTACTTATTTTTTAGTTTTATTTTTCCCAGAGTTCTTAAAATTTTGTGGTCCTTTCTGGGATCCTGACAAATTATTAAAACTTGTCATATATTGTACTAGCACATTTTCACACTGCTATAAAGAAATACCCAAGACTGGGTAATTTACAAGGAAAAGAGGTTTAATTAACTCACAGTTCTACATGGCTGGGAAGCCTCAGGAGACTTACAATCATGGCCAAAGGAGAAGGGGAAGCAAGGCACATCTTACATGGCAGCAGGAAAAAGAGAGCAAAGAGGGAAGTGCCACCCTTTGGTGATAGAATTCACTATCACGAGAACAACATGGGGGAAATGCACCCCTGTGATCCAATCACCTCCCACCAGGTTCCTCCCCTGACACATGGGGATTACAATTTGACATGAGATTTGTGTGAGGACACAGAGCCAAACCATACCATATATGGTTTGACCAAAATATTGTTAAGGAGAGACTAAATTACATTAAATCTGTGTGGAAAGAGGTAACTCACAAAGCTAGCCACCAAAGCTCAGGGTCCTTTAAGTATTCGAGACATGCTGAAGTCTTCAGAATCAAATGCCTGTAGCAATTGCAACTGGACTTTTTTGCAACCACTGATCAATCACACTTTTCTGCCCATTCATTGCCTGACTTCTTTGCTTTATGCAACATTTAATAGCCATTTATCCTCTTTTGCATTGCCAACAAATTAATTAGCCAGAATAAGCAGTTGGGTGATATTACTAAAACATAAGAAACATGTTAAACCATAAGCTATCTATCTTGTAGAGGTTAAACCAAATTTTAAAATCTGGTAATGTTCATCATAGTTATATTTTGCTTTCAAATAAAAGTTAATTGCTAAGACTTGGATTTTTAGAAACAACAAAATAAATCAGAATTATTAGCAACTTATGATGAAGGTTCTTATTAGAAAAAAGCTAATGGATCATGAGACCCAGTAACAACCTGGCAGGGCTCAAATGCTATTAAAGGCCCCTCCTCCCTAGTATTTATTAATTTTGCAGTGAAAGAAGGTTGGGACCTTTTCTAAGAAACAAGAACACTAATTAAAACTAATCAATCAAATTCCTCACAAACCGTGAAATGACAGAATAAACAGGAAGAGGACAGCATGGCTAAGAATGCAAAGATGAACAGGAAATAAAACAAAGTGACCCCCTGCTGCTGTCTGGGCACATCTCCTGAACAAATGTTATATTTAATTCTGAGGTGATTATCTTTGATATGCCTGCCATGGGTGAGGGCAGATACCCCATGAAGGAATGAGCAGTCTCTGTGTAAAGGCAGAGACTAAGAGAAAGAGGCAGGTCCTCAGAGAGAAAACAGACGCTAACAAAGCCATGCTGTAAGAAAGAGGTACAGTGTGGTCAATGAGCCCTGTGCTTGCAATCAGAAGACCTGGGTTCAAGTCTTGGCATTACATGTTCCTAATGGGATGACTTCGGGTAAAACACTGAGTTGCGGTTTCTCATCTGTGTAGCATAATAATGCTCACTTTGACCTCTCCATTTCAACGTTATAATGATCAATTAACCTATATGTTTAAATTAAAAAGGTTTTTCACATATAAATTTATCATTTTAATAATAAAATAGCATACTATTATCAATACTGGTAGTAGTAACTAGGAAAGAGCAGTATACTATTGGCCAAAAGTTAAGAGCAAGACCAAAGGAGCTGACATAATATGGAAGCAGTATAATACAGAAGTGGCAAATGGTACAGCAGTTGAGAGCCTCAACTTTGAAACCAGCCTGTCTAGATTTAAATCCCAGCTCTGTGATATAGTAGATATATGACTGTGGGCAAGTTACTTTTGCTATCTGTGCTTCAGTTTTCAAATCTATAAAATGCAGATAATTGTGTTAACTTCATGAGTTTGAATAGTAAGTGAATATATACATATTCGTGTTCAACACAGTACCTGGCACATAGTATATATTATACAAGTGGTTTGCTAATATTATAATGCTGGCAACACTCCTTCGTCACTGGAAACTAGACTGCTCAAAAACTCTAGAATTGGATTTGTGATTCCAGATATAAAGAATTAGAGGCACCCTATGCAGGCATCTAAGCAGTTCATTACATAAACCATCAGAAAGCTACTTCACATTTACCACAGCTCAGGTTTCAATTCATGTAAGAAACGGACAGAAAAAGTTTACTTTTCCACCCCATTACTACATTTTAGTCATATATTTGCGCATAAGAAAGCAAATTAATTTGTTTAGGAAACTAGGTAGACCCTGGTCATTATCTGTATTGACCAAGTGAGAAGTATGTAGAGTCAGTTTTATCATCTCCACTAATCTTGTTTTACTTATTTTCATATTTTGTATCAGAGTAAAGGTGTATATTTTCCTTATACATTGTATAGCAGTTGTACAAGGCCCTTGGTTTTCTTGTTTTGTTTTAGTTTTGATGGCTTCCATTTAGATAACATATTTCCACTGATAAATGAAAAACTTCAGCCAAATCAATTAAAAGGAGTTTAACTGAGCAATGAACAATTTGCGAATTGGGCAGCCCCCAGAATCACAGCAGATTCACAGAGACTCCATAGGTGCCTCATGGTCCTCATGGTCAGAACAAATTTATAGACAAAAAAGGTAAAGTGAGGAATTGGAAGTGAGGTACAGAAACAGTGAGATTAGTTAAGCTTCATTTTTGCCTTATTTGAATGCAGTTTGAACATTCAGCAGTCTATGAGTGGTTGAACTGTGGATCCTGCGATTGGCCAACATTCAGCCATTGTTATAGGTGCATACTATTAAGTTAGATTTTCAATTTTGTCTGACTATTAAGCTAGGTTACAGTTCATCCACAAGGACTCAAATATAGAAATGTGGAGTTTTTCTCAGGCCATATGTAGTGTGCTGTAACAATTCCCCCATTTTGGTATTTTCTCAATTTTGAGAGACCAAAATCTTAGTCATTGATGTTACTATGCCTACTGTGAATATACTTATATGGTTTTGAAACTCACTGTGAAATAGTAGAGCAGTGAGTTTTGCAAGGAGAGAATAAGGACTGAGTAGAGGGTAACTCCTTATGCTGGAACGTCCTGTGTACAGGAGAAAAACAAAACTTGATCTGTTCTAGGATCTATGTATTTCTTAAAGCCTTAGTTTGGTCATGTCACATTTAGCACAAGTGCCTCCATTTTAGTTTGGTTTGGTTTGTTGGGGCCTAGTGCATGAGCTCAGTCCAAAATAATGGCCTCCCATAATTTTGTTTTAAAAAACTTCCCTCTTTTTGGCCAGGTTCTTACTAGGTGAGAGTGTGACCAAAATTTAAGGCCTTAGTGCCACTCTCAGCTACCATCATTTTGGGTTTCCAGTCTCAGCATTGCATACATAGGTTATGTTATCCTCATGTCACACATTTCTTTCAGCTTTTGTCATTCCAGTTGAAGAGAGACCATTTGACATTATAGAGATGGCTGCATGCAAACATTTAAAACCTTTGAGAGAATACAGTGTACCAGGGAGACTATTACTATGGCTATTAGGAGGATATTACCAAGAGTTTGGAGTATGTGCCTTACCCAAAGTCCCCATAAAGCAAACCACATAAAATCAAATAGATTAAAAAATGAGCTAGATGAAGAGTCTACTCACTTGACTAAGTGTCCTTTTTATTAATCCCCTACAACTGAATCTTTATATCTACATATGATGTATTTCTCCATAGGCCGCAAGTGGCAGCAGCTGCACAGTTTCTTTTCTGTTTAGCCAATTGTATTATTTAGCATAACTTTCAAAAAGAATTTAAAGTCTGTTGGGTAATGATAGCCTTTAAAGTAGAATTTGCTGTAGAGCCTATTGTGAAGGCAATATATCTAATTATCACTTTTTTTATTCTAAACCATGGAAGAAGGGTCTAACAAAAAATGTCCTTCTAGAAGAGTGAAGGCCTCTTGCCAGTATTCTCTTTAATTCATGATATGGGTTAAGAGGAGCTTTGACTGATTATGGGCCAACGTATGTACCACCAAATTTCTCACTTGCCCTTCATCTTTTATCTATTAAAGTATAAGGTTATTCATGTATAAGACTGGCTGCAAAATCCCTCACAAATAAAAGTATATTCTATAAGTGCACATAATAGACCCCCTTTTATTTCTATTTTTCATAAAGGCATGAACAAAGAAAAAATATTCCAAGGTAAGAGTCTTGTGATAATAGAAGTCTTGATTCGTGATCACGGGAAAAGCTGTTCACATCAAGGATGCCATCTTCTGGGGAGAAACCTTCCTAGTTATTTTTACCTTAAGGTTTCCAATGGCTGTACAGTTCTAGGAGTGTGTAGAGACCCTTCTCAGTTGTAAGATTATGAATTCAAGGTTCAGGACTCCAAAGTTTTGCTGTAGCTTGAATGGTAAAGACAGTCTTTCTCTGATGTTTTCAGAAGATCCAATCTTTGGGTTCTAGACTGTGAAGGGATTGGCCTCAGTGAACCATGAAAAGCTTTCTTTACCTGGTGAAAATATACCACAGCATAATAATCCATTGTTATAACATCAGCCCTCTTGCATGGGAAACCTTTATACAACCAGAAAACATGTACTGAAAATGACAATTAAATGAAATCCCTTTATAAATGTTTAAATGTCCCATCAGGAAGCCAAATGTACCTTACACTTTGATTGTTTTCCCAGGAATATGGAATCAAACATTGGTTTTAAACTATTTCTGCAATTTATAAGTCACCACATCAATATATTTAATTTGGATCACTTTATCTTTTCCATAATGAGTCATGGAATGCAGAACCTTTAATAACAAAAGTTTTAAGGGCTCAGGAGGACAAAGTGGCTGTCCTGGTTCTTCAAAAGTCCATGCTTAACATTGAACTTAGGTCCTCTTGAATATCAGTTGTTTTTCCAATTTAGGTGCATAACACTGATAACTAATGGATTATCAAAGATAATATGACCCAGACCATGATGCTTATCCAAATTGTTTATTTAAACCATTTTCATATTGGCTGATTCACATGATAATCTAGAGTTTGATTTTGAAATGTTTGTTAAATAGTAAAGGTTTAATAACATTGGCTATTACAAAATAGAATCTTAGGTTACCATAAGTCACTCATTAGCCAAAATGATAATTCCAACTTATTTTGAACCAGCAAACCATTGTTTATTTACTTACATAATATATCTCCCATGGAGACCTGTTAGGCTTACCACTCTTCATAGCCACAGTACAATCTCATAGAGCACCCTAGGATTTCCAAAACTTGTTCAAGCTTTATTTAATTTAAAACAGTTCTCTAACCCTCCAACCTAGGCAAAAATTTACATTCCCACACTCTCTTCTAATCTCTTACAAAAAAAATACATTTCATTCTCCTTACACACTTTGCACGTAAACCTATATTTTTCATTAATCTCAACTACATATTACAATGTTAACTCTTAGCAACTTTTACTTTTGGTGAAAACCTGGATGAGTAAGGGATTTTAATTATGTACTAGGTATGGAGCTTAGGACCCAGAGAGAAATGCAGATAAGGTCTGACTCTTTCCAGCATCTAACGCCACATGTCCCACACCTTGCCTAGCTGTAAAACAGGCAAGATGTACAGTTAAGAGTAATAGTGACATTTTATGAAGCATTTAAGAGGCCTAATCACCTTTAAATTGTACATTTCTGGCATAAATTTCTTGTCATAAATTCTTTCATGACTTATACAGGCCATGTATAACATGTTTTGACTTTCTGACTTTCCTTAAACATCCCTCTATTAAAACAACTAGTTATTTTACTTTGGGACAAGAATTTACCATAATATAACATTCTTTCTTATATAAAATTTCCTTTCTTTATAACTTTCTTTGCATAGCTAGGGGGCATGGCTAACTCCATGTATTTGTAGGACTTATTTAGAACTTAATGTCTCCAAAATAATTTGAACAATTTTCAAAAGTCAAAGCAGTTTATGATCTTAAAGCATTTAGCAAACCTAAAGTCTGAGCTATATAATTTAGACAAAATGTCTTTATTTTATCAATAATCTTTAAAGCTATTTTTTATTTCCCAAAGATTACTAAAGTTACATAAATGAAAAGGCATTACGGTTTTTATTTTGCTGGGTGCTCATTTTTGTTTAAACCTATTAATTACTTAGAGCTCTTTTAAATAAACATTACACACAACACATTAGATAATCACACAGACAGAAGAAGATTACTTCAGTAGTTGTCAGATTTTTTATTTGCCAGTTTTTAGTTTCTTAATTGGTTATTGGCTTTAGGATGGAGCCCTTGGAACAACATGGCCAGAAAAGGGGTTTCAGGTGCCTCCTGTTTTTCCCAAGGAGTTCCTGTTAGAGCTTGAATATCCACTTTTAGTTAAGCTGAATTTTAACTATAGTACTCTTTAATAAAATCCTTTTAAAATTTATTATCACCCAATTTTAGTGAGGCCAGTCAATAATTCTGGCTTTTGAACTTTATCAAAGGTAACCTCCCAGGTGCTCAGAGAAAGGAAAATTTAAGATAGTTCATAGAGGAGAAGAAACAATACAAAGTTATGCAGATATTAAACCAAAAAGGACTTATTTCCTAAGCAGGAAATCAAACCCAGGCCACCAGTGGGAAAGACCAAAATCTTAGATACTGAGCTACAGCACAGAGCAGTCTCTACTGTCCTTCCCAAAAGGAGTCTATAGAGTAGTTGACTTTGAACTTGCAAAAACTTTTAACTAAAGATAATTTTTAGAGCTAACTATGACATAAACCCTAAAATTCCTGTTCCCTGGAAGGCAAAGACTAAGAGAAAATACTACCACATGGTTACAAGGTCAAGTTCCCAAGGACATAAAGCAAAATAGAGGTCCAATCCAGTTTTTTTGTTTCAGGGACCTGCAGGAAAGTTTGTTATTGACCAGCTTGCTGGGCTGTCTTGAGCAAAAAAAAACTTATGAGGGCCTAAGTCCATGCTTTATCCTAAGGTACCCTTCAACCCAGAAAAACAAATTCATAGCATAAATACATTAGTTTAAGATTATCCCCAGAATTCATTTTTGCATTAATCAAAACTTTAAAGAAGAGGTAAACAGTAATTTTTACCATTCATTCAACTGTACAGAGAGAGAGAAGCCAAAAATCTAACTGGTAAGAAATTCTTACCCTTTTGCCAGCATGCCGGGCTTCTGGGTTCCCTTTCCCTGAGTGACCCTACTGACTCAGTTTGCTGTACCATTGCACTGGGGCCAAGCTGCATGATAAATAAAAATTACATTTTTATGTTCTGGCCAGAGTAAAATATGTGTGATAAAACATAGACATTAGCCACTCTGCTTAGCACACAATATTAAACTGGCAAGGCAAAAATTTGCCCCGGATGGGCCCCATCATCATTAATCCAACCTCTGACCAGGATTTTCAACATGTGGTCTCTGGGCAAGATGGTTGCCCTGACTAATAGAAAAGATAAGAAATGGAAAGGAGAAAGAAGAAAGAATTACCTGTGGAAGGGTAGGGAAGGTGAAATGAATCAGGGAGGCCAGAGAAGACCCACGCAATGCAGCAACACTGAAAAGTTCAGGCAGCTGCTTTTTGGTAGCAAAGGGATTTTTTCCAGCAGTCCATTCATCTCTTAATTCCCTCTTTTAGGGAGGAAAAATCTCCCCATGTTTCACAAGCATGTACCTGCCCAATCCTATCACCCACAGCTATTAGGAAAGAGTGAAAGGCAGATTATTCCAAAGAGAATAGCAGTTGACATGCTGTAGTGTCAAACCCATTCTTTACTGGGACTTTACTGAGAGCCCTTGTTTTTAAATGTACTTCAATGCATTGTGGTTCATTGTTGTTACGTTCCACTGTAAGTTATCTTTAGTAATATTTTTGGCATTTCTGTAAGATAGGCTGCCTCCCAGGCTTAACGTGCTTTAATATAATAGAAGGAATTCAGTTTTCCAGAAATTAAGAAGCCCATTTTTACCTAAAATATTGACTTTACTCTCAGATTCTCTTGATTAACTTAGCCAATGATTTTTTTTTTTTCCTACCTAAGCACACAGGAAAAATGAAACACAGGGGTAGAACACAAAAATCCCTGTGACTTTTCAAAAGGCAAATTTTATAACCCCTGCAATGTTACTGCTCACTACCAGTTCCTTTCTGATCCAGTCAGATGTAAAAGGACTCTAACTGGATTAAAACCAGTTAATTCCCAGATAAAATATATTTCTGGACCCAGTCCAGTTTCTGTCATGACTCTTAACCCAGTTTGGATCAGAAATTTGCTCAAAGCAACTCAGAGAACTCAAAACACAAATCCATGGAGCTATGAAATCCAAGAGGGAGTGTACCACAATCCACAGCTTCTCTGAGAGATTAGTGGACACAACTGAGTCCTACAGGTACCTTGCATGTTGACTCAGTGCTCCTGGGGGTTGCTAGAAGCTCCACTTCAAATCCCACTTCTGATACCATCTGATAAAAGAAAAACTTCAGCCAAATTAATTTAAAGAAATTTAATTGAGCAATGAAAGATTTGCAAAACAGGCAGCCTCCAGAATCACAGAAGATTCACAGAGACTCCAGGGGTGCCTTATGTTCCTTGTGGTCAGAACAAATTTATAGACAGTAAAGGCAAATGACAAACAGGAATTGAAAGTGTGGTAGGGAAACAGTAAGATTGGTTGCAACTTGGTGTTTACCTTATTTGAATACAGTTTGAACATTTGGTAGTCTATGAGTGGTTGAAGTGTGGCCACCGGGATTGGCCAACACTCAGTCATTGTTAAGAATACTATTAAGTTAGGTTTTCAATTTTATCTGACTATTAAGCTAGGCTACAGTTCATCCACAAGGACTCAAATATAGAAGTACGGAGTCTTTCTCAGGCCAAATTTATCTTGCTTTAACCGTGTCTTCTATTTTATAGCCATTTGTTTATCAATAACATCTAGAATGCCACAAATCACCACAAAAGTAAAAACTGGGTGATGGATTAAATGAGAGGGAAGAAGGAATGCAGGGAGGGAGGGAGAGAGAGAGAAAGAGAGATTTCTTTGACTTTTTTTTTATTTTGGTGATTGACACCAAGAAAAGAAAGCTAACAAATTGTTTAATCAGAACTATATCAACTTTTAGGTTTAAAAAATTGTTTTGTGAAAAATCCATTAGATTATTTCAGAGATATGATGGTATGCAGATAAATTTAATTTTTAAATATTTGCTTAGAAAAAGTTGGAATTTCTCAAAACATAAAACTATGAATTACATAAACACTCATTCATATTTTGTCCCTTTTGATAGAACATGTAAATAAAAGAAATCAAAAAGACAAAAGAATATCAATGGATGCAATGGCATATAAAATCTTTATAATCTAAACCAAATAAAATTATATAGTATTGGCAACTTTGTTATTTAATTATACTCATAATTAAATTGAGTATAACACTAAATAATAAACTGTTTCGTGTGTGACTTATATAGTAGACTCATTGTTGAATGAGAGAAATATATTGTTCAATGCATTTGAGTAAAATAAAATGTAAGATACCAATTTTTACAGAAACTTTTAAAGGAAACTGTTTGACAATTGAGATAATAGCCATTACTTACAAAATACAGCATTTCTCCTATGATTCACATGAAAGTAACAAGATCTTTAGTCAGAATGTTCTCGTTTCCACATAATTCAAATACCATGTATGTCAAAAAATGACAAAGACAAAATTGATTCAGTTTTAGAATATGAATGGCACTGATCATAGTGAAAACATTTCACAAAATCAAATAATAATCAATATGGAGCATATTCATTTTGGTTGGTATTCTTTGTAAAGTCTTTAGGTCTCAGTTTCTTTTGCAAAATAAACTAGTTGTGAATATTACATGCAATAAAATAAATAGAAAGGCACATTGCAAGAGAGCTATAAAGCAATACATAAATATAAATTCCAAATGTTATAACATCTTGAATAGCCATTGTACATGTTAAATGTTCAATAAATAGCTGAGTTAATGATTGAGGCATTGCAGGAAGTCTGGGGTGAGGCATTTGGCAGGAACTGCCACACAGGACTGCTTTCTTCACTAAAACAATGCTGTAGCTGAGAGTGAATGTTTTCAATCTAAATGGTTTTACTCAGCTTAGCAACCTACTGGATTCACTATTACAGTCATGAGTCATTTAACCACAGGGACACATTCTGAGAAATGTGTTGTTATTTTGTCATGTGAACGTCACAGAGTGTACCTACATAAACCTAGATTGTGTAGCCTGCTATGCTCTTAGGCTATTGCTCATAGGCTGCAAATCTGAACAGCATGTAACTGACCTGAATCTTGTAGGTAATTGTAACAAAATGGTATTTTTGTGTATCTACACATAGCTCAATATAGGACAAAAATGATATATCTGAATAAAGCATTGACCATGAATGGAGCTTACAGGACTAGAATTGGCTTGAGTTTGTGAGTGATGAGTGAAGGCTTAGGACAATACTGCATACTATGGTAGTGTCAGTAATGTTTAAACTGTGTACACTTAGGCTACTCTAAATTTACTCTTTAGTTTTCTTTCTTCAGTAATAAATTGACCTTAGCTTACTGTAACTTTTTCTTACAAACTTTGTAATTCTTTTTAATTTTTTAACTCTCTTGTAATTACACTTAGCTTAAAACACAAACACTTTTTTTCTTATGTACTTATTCAATAAGGTTTTTCTGTTATTAGGATTTTTTTTTTACTTTTTAGAGTTTTTGCTAAAAACTAAGACACACACACATTAGCCTGGGCTTACACAGGATCAGGATCATTAATATCACTGTCTTCCACTTCCATATTTTGTCCAACCGGAAGGCCTTCACAGGTAGTAACATGCATGGAGCCGTCATCTCTTACAATGCCTTCTTCTGGAATACCTCCGAAGGAGCTGTCTGAGGCTGTTTTACAGTTAGCTTTTTTCCTTTTAATAAGTAGAAGAAATACATTCTAAAAATACAATAAAAACTATAACATAATAAAACATAAACCAGTAACATAGTTGTTTATTATCATTACCAAGTATCATGAACTATGCATAACTGTATGTGCTACACTTATAGATTCCTGGCAGCACAGAAGGTTTGTTTATACAAGCATCACTAAAAACATGTGAGTATTCCCTTGCTCTACTACATTGGGATAGCTACAGTGTCACTAGGTGATAGCAATTATTCAGCTTTATTATAATCTTTTTCAACCCCTTTAGTATCTGCAGTTCATTTGTTGACCAAAATGGTGTAATGCAATGCATGACTGTATTTAATACTATTTCCACTATTCAAGCTCAACAGATCATTTATCATCATAATATTATTATAATCAATACTATACAAAGGAAAAAACACAAGCTCTGGAAACAACGTCAAGATAGGAGTTTAAATCAGAAATGCAAAAAAGGCACATCATCAGAAAAACAGTATATAAAATGCAATGTTGATGACACTTAAGATATCATTATTCATAGGATGAAGTATTCTGGCATTTCCATTCATCTTTCTACCACCTATATGTCTACGGCAGACATTGCAGAGCAACTACCTCAACAATCTTTCAGCCCTTTTCCGTATGCCTTCCTATAATGCAGAAACAGGAAACTAAAACAAAATGACATTTCTCAGACTTCTTGCAGCTCAATTTCAAACTATGATTTAGATCCAGATACGATTAAGATTTGGCCAACAGAATAAGAAAGAGGCCCCTGTTCTGCTGTTTCAGATAATTCTGCTGGTAAGCCCGATGGTGGTGGTGGTTGGATTTCCAAAGCAGCAGTAGTAGAACTTGTAGTGAGTAGTCCCTCACTTAATGCCTGTTATGAGAGTCTGAATTCATTTTGTTGGCATGGATGACAGTGGAGGTGTTTTAGAGCCAACAGTTGGGGTGTTGGTTTTCTGATCCATGGATTGCTGTTGAGACTGTTTGTGCTGGCACCAGGAGTTAGGCAGAAGCTTCCTAATTCCTAAGCTGAAAGATGATGTTCTCCACTTGCTGATCATGGCAGAGGATGCAACATCCTTTTCAGGCCAGTTCTGTGATGCTTTTCTGGGACTCATTTCTGGACGTCTAGCTCAGAGCCTATACTCTAACTCATGATATTGAAAGCATTCAATTCCCTATATTAAATCTCCTTTTATTAAACTAGCTAAAATGGTTTTAGTTTTCTGCAACTGAACCTTGACCAATACAACTTTGAACCTAGTTAAGATATATGTATACACAGACAAAATTGTTCTGATTTTATAAAACATTACAAGCACATCTCCTGAATATATTCATACTGTGTTTTGGCTAAAATGCATTTATCTCCTTGCAATACCTGAGAGAAAGCTATTTTTTACATCCTCTGTGATGACTGATCTAACTTCCTCAAGTAGATTCTGCACTTTCTCAACTTTCCTCCCCAGCACATATGTACATACCTTTGCAATACTGATTATTATTATACCATATGCCATTTCTCTGTCTGTATGTCTGTTTCCCAAATATACTTTAGAGAGGTATTGCTTCTTTTAATCTCTGTATTCCTGTGGCTAGCAAATATACAGTAGGTACTCAATAGTGTTTAGTGGCAGGAAAATAAGAAGAAAAGAAAAATATGGAATGAGGGTATTCAGGTTGAATCCTGACTTCTATACTTGTCATTTTGGTGACCTGAAGCAACTAAGTAGGTTATCTGTGCCTCAGTGTCCTAATTTTTAATATTGAAATAATAAGTTTATCTATCTCATTAAATTAATATATTTAACTATTTTATCCCCAATTTAACTAATCATATAAAAAGAGTCTTTTAAAAAGTGTCTGGAATATAGTGATTGCTCAATAAATGTTGGCTCTAAGTATTATTAATAATTTCTTTTAATAGACATATAGAATTAGCACTATCTTTTTGCATTATGAACATTAAAACATGCCTTAAAAATTGCTTCTCTAAAAATATCTCAACAAAAAAATATGAATTATTAACTGTCCGCAAAGAAATATGGGATATCTAAATTCAAAATATATTATTTTTAAAATTATCTTAGGGACATACAGTAACTAACACCTCATAAGCATCACATTTTAGATGTGGTCTACCATACCAATCACCCCTAAAAGTTTAAATTTTCGCCTTTTATTCTTTCTTTCTTCAATTCTTTTTCATAGCCAAGGGAGCTAAAGAAAAGCTTTCTAGGGGTTATTGGAAAATAAAATGCCAGTATCACCTCTGACAATTTCTCAATGCTAACTTTCAGAAGTATTGCTTACATTTTTAATATATCACACTGCACGAGGAGTCTTTGGTATTGGACATGAATTAACTTCTACATTTGACAATGACTTATGAAAGCTTACCTCTTATTTAAATCCATAAATTTTATACACAGAAAAAAGAAAGTTTGTGAATATGTTTAGACATGTAATTTATTACACCTTAGGTTCACAAAAATCTTAA